GTAACATACAGTACCTGCCTTTTTGTTGATTTGCTGATACAGCAGCTCTATCTACAGCATATTTACATGCATGAAATGTCCCTTTCATGTTGCCTTAACTGCTGTATGTCAAGTTACTCAGGAACAAATGGGGTAAATGTGTGCTCAGAGTAAACAATGCATGGATGTCCGGTACCTTGTTTGGGTGCCTTGACCCATTTATTTCTACTGTGTGGTTATGCTCACTTTAGAACAGCTCAGTCCATAGATCTCTGATGGGTAAGTTTTTCTTTCTATAGTTTCTTCTTGTGCAAATGCTGCAAAGCTGCCTCTCTGACAATCAATATCTCACATCTGCGACTCAGCACCTGTGTCTTACCTTAATACCTTTCCTGTGATAATAACCCTCTAGAAGTAGTGTTATCATTCTTCTATCTCCTATTAAGTGAGATCACATTATACGATGTATTTCTAATATGAACTGTGTCACATGAAACACTTACTGTACATACTATTCTCACCAAACTGTGATAACTGTGATTAAATTCAGTGTAAACAAATGCCATATGTTGCCACCCCTCAAAAATGCCTGCCCCCCTCTCGTTACCCCATTAATATTTTTCTAGATCCGCCCCTGTTTACCAACTTACTCAAAATTACGGAGACCAATATTGCACAAATATCAGATAGATTTTGAGTCCTAGGATGTTAATTTAATGATTGTTGTGAGATATTGCTGCAGAGTCAACAATCTTGCAAGGTCAGTGACTGGATGCAGTCAGCTGGGTTTTTGATAGAATACCTTTTGACCGATCTGTCTGTATGATTTCATCATTGTCTCTGTAAAGTGCATTGAAATGACATATGTTGTGAATTTGAACTGAATTTAAGTTAAAGAAATGGACCAGATACCAAAGAATTCATAACACGGTTGTAATAAAAACAATAGTAAGCACTGGAATCTTTGTGTGTTTCTGATAGATAACTGCAGGCTTTTTTAAACCAAGCCACTAAAAGCACAAATCTATGCACAAACCTTTCTAAAGTCAGCTATCTAATAAATGACCACCTCTGTTCTTCCTTTCCCCTCCTAATCTTGTAACTTCCAAACTTTCACCATTAGAAAGCAATTATTAAAAAATAAATTAATTTTGGTATAAAGTTGCCTTTATACTGTTTAGTCTGTGAGGAATATGGAGCTAAATCAACGAAATCTTAAACTGACACAAAAAAATAGTTATAAGTCAGTTATAATTCAATTTAAGATGCTTTGGCTTGCAGTACAAGGATTTTTATTAATATTTGCAAGTCAGATTGTATTACAATAAAAAAAATAACTGAGCTAATAGACTACTTAATACAAAATGATTGGTATACCTCATGAGCAATACTAAAACTGTTGGGATCCTCAGGCTTGCCCACCAGAGGGCGCCAAGGATCCTCTTCTGCTCTCTTTGTTTTTCCCTTAGGTTTGGAGTTA